GAAAGAAGTGTTGCATTGTCCTGTCAAAGAACACTGAGAGACAGCCGTAACAGACCTGCAAAACAGCTTTTTGTTTCCAAAACATACTCAGTTTTGGTCACAGTAATGATTATTTTAGTCTGCAACTGTTTTCGTCCAAGTTGCAACAGGGTAATCAGAAATGGAAAATATGCACGTCCAAAATTCTGTTATTGGGAAGAACCAAGGTACATCAAGCCACAGGATTCCCACAGAAAAATGTATTTTGACATTCACTTAAATGCTGCAGTGACATAATTCATTACCAAAAGAACTGACAGCGATCTGGCTGTCAGTTTAATAGTTATGCACATTACTACACTTATGTTTAGTTCTCCCAGCAAATTTTTAAAAAGAGTTCAATTACAGTGATACTGTGAGATGCTCAAGAATTATTCTTAACAGTTATTAAAATACTAAACAACTAACTTTGTATTTGGCTTGTATGCTTTACTCCTTCACCTATTTAATCTTCCACGTTTCCCTGTCTATGCTGTTCTACTGAGTTTCTAAGCAGGCATTGCTCACAACCTATAACATAAGCAAAGCCAGAAATAGCAGTTAATGTCTATCTCTTGGGTGGATAAACTTAAGAGATGAATGGTCGAACAATATACAAAAAGTATGAACTTAAGTCCTACCTATGAACTGCAAAAAGTCCACTCAGGGAAGAGCTAATATGAATCTACCAGATGTAGCTTTCACTATTTTCTCATTTTTCCAAGTCCGCTGTTCTCACTCATGTGTCCCATAATGTAACAAAAATCTCATAAAGGACAAAAATGTGTCTGAGGGAACAACAATCATCCTTCATACACACAAAAACATTCACAACCTTAGACAGCCCAGCTACTCTAGCAAAACCCCAAGTATGAATGCCTGAAGAAAAGGGTTTTGATCAGCTTGGCAGTTGTAGTGAAATAAACCACAGAAGTCCAAGAACAACTTTTGGCTGACATTGCATTTCAATTGATAGAACATAATTGTAGTAATAGAAGCTTTTCTAGTATAGATAAGATTTTAAACAAAGCATAAACATTTTCATTGATGTGATGTTGGATATTTCAACATCTGTAAGAAGAGCCTGGAAAGTTGATTCTGGATATCGACATCTACAGTTTACAGACCAGTCTGCCTCAGAGGGTCATTCAACACAGTCTTTGAGCAATGGCAATCAACTGAAGGCCCAGCTCAGATGTTTTTGGGAACAGTCTGAATTTTCTGAAAAGCATAATGATGTTATGATGGCTATTTACTCCAATAAGTGGTCATTTAGCCCTTGACCATATTTAGTTTTTATACGACCAAGTCATCCACTGACCTAGACAGGTCAGACTTCTGAATAGCTATTTGAAATGCATGACACATTCTGGGCAGAAGCAGCTGTCAAGCCATGTAATGGAGGCACTTGTGTGGCAAATGTCACTTAATTGTGGCTGATGCTGGTGAATTAGTCATACTTCCTCCCTGCCATCAGAGGAGACATGGTAGTGGAAGTTTAGCTCTTCTATCTCAAGACAACATGTTTTACAGCATGAATTCACAGAAAGAACTGCAGTAATGAGACAATCCAAACAGCTAAACAAATTTTGCTCTTTAGTTATAAATGTGCAATACCTATTCCAACCAACATGGCACAAAACTGAATTTTTCTGGGAGCAAAATACGGCTCAAAACACAAAATGTTAAATTTTGAATTAGTACAAAATCTGTGTCACCAACAGTGTAGAACAATTAGTTAAAAGCTTGTAAGCACAGACAGATCCTTTATGAATGCATAGGAATCTCTTGTTGTGGGCTCTTCACTTCTAATGTTGGTATGCTAGTTAAAAATTGATTCTAGAGGGTAAAATTAAAAAAAAAAACTCACTGCAGAAGCACAAATTCAGAGTAAATTTCACTCAGTTACATAGTTTTTACCCATTGATGTTTTACCACAAACTTTACAAAAACTTCCTCCTTTTGTCTTCCCTGCCTTAAACACATTGATTTCCTTCAGATGGAAGAAAAAAGCTTCTGAAGTTAGCCAGTGTGATTTCTTAGCTGAAAAACAAGACCTGGAAGGATACTTTATATGGAAAAAAATGCTGAAGCATAATTACACCAAAAATTATCATCTCTCATTTTTATAGTGGCATGAGTCAAACAGTTCTTAAAATTGTTTTCTCCTGCAGACAATTTCTGGCAGGAAGCATTGAATTTTATTAGCAAAGGCTTCCAAAAAACCTACACACATAGCATGACAATACCTTTGTTTCCCACTTTTTTTTTTTTTTAAATCTGATTTTTCTAATTTAAGCAGTAATGCTACACATGGCCAACTACTCCCATGTCAATTTGTAGATTGGGTGCAGATCTGTGTAAAATAAAGCGAAATCATTGCCAAGTCAAACTGGCTGGAGGCTTCTCAGCTTCAGAATGTGATTCTGTAGCAAAGAAATAAAAGCCTTTGCATGTGTCTACTCTGCAGCTGGAAGGAGGGGAACAGCTAGTGGTGATATCAGATGTTTGCCATCATTGTAGAAATAAGACCCCATAAGCAAAGAGACGAAGACAAAAAGAATCCTGAAGAAAAACATTAAGAACAGCCATCCTCAGGAAAAAAAAACTGAACAAAACAAACAAAAAACAACCAACCAAACACAAAATTAAAAAACCCCAAACCTAACTCCTTAAGAAACATTCAAATTTATGAATCATTCCAAACTCTGCTCAAATAAAGTTCTACGTAACCAGGAACCTTGCAGGCCTATTTGGTGTCTTATCACCAGGATCAACTACATCAAGTGTTAAAGTCTTGTTTACAATATGAGTAATTGACTGTTCCATTTGGTGTGTCTTAAACCACCCCTGATTTCCCTTGGGCTTTGTATGCTTGCTGCGTGTTGTGTTCTATCAGCTGGGGACAGCCAGCGTGTCTATTTTTAGCAGTGACATGTTAAATAGCGCCCACAAGGAAAGACGCAGTAGCTATTGAGCAAGGATACAATGCGAGTGAATAAACATCTCCCACTGACTTCTTGTCCTTTCTGGAAAAGTTACTTCGTTTCCATTTTCTCCATGCTTGCAGAAGAAAGGTACAGCTTTGCTAATTAAAGGCTTACAAAGCTTAGATTGGAGCTTTCAGTCTACACCCCCATGGATTGCATTTAGCCTGCCAGAACAATTAATTCAATGTTTCTCAGGAAGCCCCAGGTTCTTCCTATCACATTCTAAACTACACCACACAATATGTTTCACAAGTTTTATGTTGATATTTCTGTCAACATTATCATTATCACCTGCAAGGCTAGGCTGTCATTATTAAGATGTCAAATGCTGAACAATTCTAGTAACCAGTATATACACATTCCACCTTAACAACCCCTCATCACATCATCTACTATGTTAATTAGTACAAGGTCACAAACCCTTCTTCTGGATCAAAAGCAAACTACTAACTATAGAATCCAACTCGATTGATCTAATTCCAAGGGCAAAATTTCTCATTAAACGGGCATTATAAGGACCAAGTTTCTCTCTGTGTTTGCTACGCTTTTAATATAGTTAAGTAGTAAAAGTCAGGCGATTGCCATCACAGTCAAGTAATTTTCTGTTACAGGCAAATGGACAGCAGAAATGCTGAGGGCTATTAGAAAAGACTTAGCACCTCTGAAGATAAAATCAATATACAAACTATGATATATTGATGTTTAATATGGCATGCCCAAAGCCATGTTCTTAGCAACTCCTCTAAGAAACAATATTTGAAGAGTGGAAGCAATACTTAAGAGTTCTACTTGAGAGATGTATAATATATGGTTCGTGTTTTAGAGGTTCATTAATTAAATCTATCTTGGGGGGAAAAAAAACAAAAAAACCAAAAACCCCCCAGTCTGGAAATAACTGAAAGGAAAGTGCTATACTGTGGACTTTCTCTTAAGTATACTGTATGTATATTGTCGCCTTCAACTCATCCAAGATCACAAATTCGAAGAAACTAAAACATCAGAAGAAATAAATCTGCCCCAAAGCTTGCAGCTAATCAATGAAATTTTAAAATTCTATTACTTTATATCTTATATACAAAAAGTTTTATAACACAATATTATGTAAAAAACAACTGAATTGTGCAACATATAAGTGGTGGTGCTAATTACAAAATACTTTTTATTATTTACTGTATCTGCAAATTAATGCAATTGCAGAAACAGGAAACTGCTCTCCCACCATGATAGAAAAGTAGTTCCTGTAAACCTTTGGGTCTCAAAGTTAGCATGAAGATCTTCTCTTCTGAAAAGGTCTTTAAAACACTGTAAATTTTGAGTGAATTTGCAGCTTTGTTTTCTCTTTGAATGGTATTTTGGAGAGTTAATAAAATGTAAATATTAACCTGTATTTATATACTGTTGTTCTAGTTGCAAGTTCCGTCTCTGCATTTACATGAATATAAAATAACTGAAGAGATGTTGGCTTAATTTTCCATCAACATATCAAGGAATATGGCAAAGGCAGATATGCAAAGGAAAGGAAGACAAAAAGTACAGGGTTTGTTAAAAAACTCTAACAAAAGTGCCTAAGAAGTCTTTACATACAATTTAAAATTTCAGTGAAAGTTTGCATTCGGTGTTATCCTACAGAAGCTGTAAACTTGCAACAGCAAGAACTACTAAATGGACATCAGTGAATCCGTGGACCTACTGCAATTTCACTCCCCCATATTCATCACGTACAACAGTAATTGTCACTTTTTTCCATCTCTTCCATCAATACCAAGACCACTTCTATAATGACAGCCATTGTTTTCTTCATTTTGCATTTGTGATGAGGGCTAAACATATTGGTTAGACTTAATGGCAGAGTTCTGGTTAGTGCTAAATCTCCTCAAGTCCCCAGTTACACAATATTCCTTCCACTTACAAACTCCTGCGGTTACCTTGGGACTCTCTGCATGGGCTCAGTAAATGCTGTTTTCCAATAGCATCAAAAAAAATCACAGCAAATAATTTTCTTTTTTTCCAGTTCATGTTTGAAATGTTACCAGCAACACAGTTAAAGAATTCTATATAGACAGTGGTGGTCTTACATTTTATGCATTGAATACTGCTCCTGGTATGTTGATATAAGACATCTTGCTGCAACAAGAGCAAGGTATTTGATTCAAGGAGAAAAGAAAAAAAAAAAAAAGCAGGCCTAGAGACACTGCATTCTTTTAGATCAGTAGATAGGACAGTTACCATCTATTGAGACTGAAAATAAGTGGATTTGCTTTTGTTGATGCAGGTTTGCCATTCATGGTCAATTTCTAATGCAAGTTATCTGAAATAGTAAGAAATGTAAACAGAAAGCAAGCCTCAAATCTTCAAGACCTACACCAGAACACCAGTAACACTCTTGAGACAGATTGCAAATTAAACCTCAGCCTTTCCAGTAGTTTCATCATAACATGACAAAGGCTTATCAACAGCTTAAGCCGAGAGCCACAGCCTGGCAGCAGAGGGAGCCGAGGCTGCCTGAAAGCAATTTTCCTTCTGCAGCAGGAACTGCAGGTGGAAGACAGGGATGAAGGCTTGTCACATCTATACCTCACGTTAAGAAATACAAGTCTGTGTTGGCAATTGTTTTGGTCACTGCTGTTTTCCAGAGCCTGAAAATAGCCCAGACTTCACTGAAAAGGCATTTTATTAACTTGTACTCTGCTAAAAAAGCATCTTTTGGGCCACAGCTCAAATACAGAAGACAGAACCACTAGAGCCTGCCAGCACTATCAGACAACAACAGAACAGTTACGTGGTAGGACAGGAAGAGAAACTAGGAAAAGGCTGCATTATGGAGGACTATGGCTAAAAAGATAATTTTAATAGCATATTGTTTTAAAGTTTTATGTACACGTAATACACATTAAACAAATACATATTATCAAAGGTTGCAGGTAAGTTTTTTTTTCCTGTTTATACACACCATTATTACTGAATGTTCTAGGTGTTCACATACTGTAAACTAGAACAGGCTGCCAAATGTTTTTTTCAAAATTTCGAAAGAAAGAATCATTACAACTTTTTACTCCAGGATGTAACAATCTTCAGTTAAAAAAACCTAAACTCTCAGCTGATGTTTTATCATGCTGTCATTACCTTGTCTTCTATTAACCCACCACTATTGATTTATAAATATTATGCTGTCTTTAGACCACAAGGTTCTTGGATCAGGAGACAATGTAACATTCAGAGGTGGTAAAGACCTATGTATTTTGGGAATCTGTGAAAGGGCATTTAAATCTCTGAGCACTAAAATACAAACCACACGAATAACGATATTTGGTCTAATATTTTTTTAAATGTTGTAAATTTACAGCAGTGTAACAAAAAGTTCCATTTAAGTGGTACATCCGAAAGCAGCAGATCATTAATATGCTCCTGGAAAAGATGCAAAGTTTGTCCATTCTAGATAGGACAGTGACCAAATAACTGCGAATCCGTTACTTTCATCCTGTGTAGAAGGGCTCTTGTTACTTGCTAAATTTATTTTCCTGTTTGGACAGGAAATTATCTAGCTAACAATACTCCGATTTTATTTAAATCATTTCTTATCAAAGTAATCTTCCAGAAGCAAAGGTGATCTTCTAAAAGATAGCAGCTTTAGATTTATAAGTTTATGTTCCTTATACTTTCCAGGACGTCATCATGGAACCAGGTTTCAGTAAACATACTAGAGTTTTGCAAAGCCTCAAAAAGACGCCTATAGTCTTCTGGGTATAAGTTACGTGCTTCGGCATTTTTTGGAATTTCTAGCTCTCTCAGTAATTTGCCACCATTGTCCAAGCTCCACGAACTGAAACAAACAAACAAATAAAATCATAACAGAGCATTTCTTTCTGTGAAAAATTAAAGAGCCAGAAACAGTATCTGGAGGTTCATTTCATGCTTTCTCAGCTTCTAGAAGTTAACATCTTCCTACAACACAAGTTATTTTCAATCCATACTGCAAGCAGGAAGAAACCTCTGCTAGTAAGACATGTAAATATCAAGTAAAGCCCCCAGCAGACACAGACAACACCAAACCACAAAAGCCTCCTCATCCGAGTGTGGCTGCCCTCCGTCTCTGCTCCGCCCCAACTGCATAAGTCCGTAACAGACATTACAGCATAAAAAGAGGTTATTCTTCAATGCCTGGGAAATTAAAGCCAGGATCAACTCCAAGAAGATGATTCAGTATAGCATGAGTTAGTGTGACATACCTCCCAGGTATTTTCTTCAATATATAAATAGATGTATCCACTGTCTCCCCATCTACATCATTGCTATGAAAACTAGATTTTATGCATGTGCATATACATTAACTATTTCCCAGACAAGAAAAGGGTGTATAAATACATAGAAGATGCACATTAGAAACCTTCAAGGTTAGCTCCGCTTCCTGGCCAAAGGACTGAGCGGAGATTAGGTACACCACTGAGCTTTAAGAAAGAAATCCATTAAGGCTCTTTGCACTTGTCTTTCCTAAATGAGTTACTGAAATTTATTAGCTTCCCCCTCTTCTGGAAATTAACTTCCATAAACTACTACCAGGAGATTACAAATACATTCATTATTTTCATTAACAAGTTGAAATAAATGCTTTCCAGACTGCAAACACTTCCCGCTTATGGGAAATGGAAATCTACTGATCATAAAGCAAAATGAATAGCTCCAATGTAATACCAAAAAGAATAATTAAAAGGGAGTTGCATAATTGGTAAATAAGTCTAAAGCCAAATTTTTTAATTAGATAACAGAAAGCCATTTGAGGACATCCCCACTCCACCTTCAATAACCTTCAGCTGTTTTCGTTAGCATTACTTTGATGTCTGTTATAAACTGAAACTCTTTTTCAGCTTTTAATTTTTATACCTGCAAAACTCTTGGTGACTTTATTATTATGCCTGTAAAGTGAGTGAAAACTTCTTTGCAGATAGATGACCTCACCTCCATTGGAGTACCGATAATTACTGCACATCTACATTCTAAATACTTGTCTATCTTCCTGTCAAACCTCAAGTTTTTATCATCTGTGAATACAGGCCAGAACAGTCCCCAGAATATTGTATTTGTAAATTGCAAAATGAAATCTTCTATTCTACATGCAGATAATTAATGGGGAAAAAAAACCAAAAAAACCACCCTGTAATTCAGCTGTAAATAAATATTGCTTTGAGAATATAATTCAACATTTTCCTAAATTTCTCTGAAGAAAAACCATAAAAACTGTAATTTTTCATACTTACTTTAATCTGTCGGTAAGTTTAGACTTGGGTTTAGCAAGACACTGTTTCACCATGAAAATAAAAGTAGCTGCATTTGTGGGCTTCAAGCCTCCTGTAAATAGATTTTGCTGAGGAGTCAGTCGTACCAAACATAAATGGTCATTTGGCAGCCACTGCAAGAAAAACAAAACGAGTCAATGAAAAGTCCTTTTTAAGACAATGTCTGTCTTTAGCTAAGAGTAAGCGCTTCATCTCTGCCACCAGTAACATTTCTTAAGGAGTTTTAGAAAGCTGAAGTCACTCAAAATGTTGAAGCCAAGGCTTCAAAATTTTATTCTAGAGCAAAGACGCTTTACCTCCCCCACCCCCTCCAAAAGGAAAGGAAATAGGAAACCAGACACACTATCACTTTTTATTTTTAAGACTGAACTTTCCTAGTTGAAATACATAATACAGGCTCAATGTGAGTTTCCAAGAGATTATATGGCTTATAATATTCCTGTACTATACATGATATCAGATCAGATCACTTCAGCTACCTGCCTTTTGCATATAAAGATGGAATTATTTGAGTGTAGCACCAAGACAATATTGCAACTTGAGGATTGTATGAAATTGGGAAGTAGTGGAGTTTTTAACTGAAATAAATGTACTTCCATATTGGCAGCAATAAGTGTATTGTCCAATAGATCTCACATTTATACTTCTCCTAAAGCTGTCACAATGCATTTTACATAATGCACCTGATACGCCTCTCTACCTGGCTTTACAGCATCACGCCTAAGTGGGTAAGGCACACCCAGTCACTTGCATTCCCTCAGAGTCACTTATATTGTACAGTAACATTTCAAACAACATTCAATATACTAATATTCAATATACTAATGTAGCAGTCTTCTAGGGAGAGTAAAATCAAGTATTAAGTACATACGCTTTTATATTATTGGTATTAAATAGAAATATATTATACAAAGAAACATCATTACTTCTCTAGAAGAGAAAAGTAAAGAACTTCACACAGTATTTTTCCGCTTCTCATGCTTTTCAGCAATTAAGTAGCACATGGAATCTATACTGGTCATGTAAATAACCATTTTAATCAAAACCAAAAGTGCTGATTGTGCTATTAACTGTGATAACAGTTAGTTTTGTTCAAGCAGGTAGATGTGACCCTATCAAGTAACTGCATTTCAAAAAGACTTCACCTGTCCACATCCCTTTATGCTGTTTATTCACTGTATTTTTTCCATCATAGATGATAAAGATACTAATTTATTTCAGTTTCTAAGCTAATAGAAGTTCTTTACCCCACGTCTGATGCATCTACATGCTGCCCATAAGTTTTCATTAGAAGAACACTTCTTACAAAATACATGTGTAAATGCTGTTATAAAGTTATTTTAACTTTTAATTAGAAGTGGTTTAGCTGCACCTCCAAAAGGAGAAAAGTGCACACAAAAATCTTACCGTGCTTTTTGGTACTGCCAGTCCCCCATTTTTCAAATTAGTTACAAATGATGACCAAGGTTCCTATGGGAGGGAGAAAACATATTACAGAATTAAAGTGCTTTGATTAGAATAGTGTAGAACAGCACAGAATAGACTATTTCAGATGGAAGGGACCTACAATGATCATCTTGCCAATTGCCTGACCAATTCAGGGCTGACCAAGCTAAAGCCTGCTATTAAGGGCATTGTCCAAATGCCTTTTAAACACTGATGGGCTTGGGGCATCGGCCACCTCACTAAGAAGCCTGTTCCAGCATTTGACCACCCTCTGGGTAAAGAAATGCTTCCTAATGTCCAGTCTAAACTTCCCCTGGCACAGCTTTGAACCATCCCCATGCATCCTGTCACTGAACACCAGGGAGAAGAACTGAGCACCTCCCTCTCCACTTCCCCTCCTCAGGAAGCTGTAGAGAGCAATGATGTCACCCCTCAGCCTCCTTTTCTCCAAACTGGACAAGCCCAAAGTCCATAGCTGCTCCTCACAGGACTTTCCTTCCAGCCCTTTCACCAGCTGTGTTGCCCTCCTCTGCTCACATTCAAGGACCTTCACATCCTTCTTAAATTGTGGGCCCAGAACTGCCCACATCAATGCTGAATACAGTGTGTTAATCACCTCTTTTGACTGGCTGGTTATACTGTGTTTGATGCATCCAGGATGTGGTTTGCCCTCTTGGCTGCCAGGGCCCACAGGTGACTCATAGTGAGCCTGCTGTCAATGAGCACCCCCAGATCCCTTTCCACAGGGCTGCTCTCCAGACACTCCTCTCCCAATTTGTACTTGTGCCCAGCATTACTCCGTCCTGGGTACAGCACCCAGCATTTCAACCTAATTTCATCCCATTAATCATTGCCCAGTGCTCCAATCTATCTAGATCCATCTGCAAGGCATCTTGTCCCTCAAATAAGTCAAAAACAACTCCCAGTTTGGTCTCATCAGCAAACTCGCTAGTGGTGCATTCCACTCCTGCATCCAGATGGTTGATAAATATATTGAACAGAACCAGCCCTAGAATTGAACACTGAGGAACACCACTGCTGACCAGTTGCCACGCAGAGGTAGCCCCATTCTCTACAACCCTTTGAGCTCTGCTCTTCACCCAGTGCATCGTGGGCTGCTCTCCAGACACTCCTCTCCCAATTTGTACTTGTGCCCAGCATTACTCCGTCCTGGGTACAGCACCCAGCATTTCAACCTAATTTCATCCCATTAATCATTGCCCAATGCTCCAATCTATCTAGATCCATCTGCAAGGCATCTTGTCCCTCAAATAAGTCAAAAACAACTCCCAGTTTGGTCTCATCAGCAAACTCGCTAGTGGTGCATTCCACTCCTGCATCCAGATGGTTGATAAATATATTGAACAGAACCAGCCCTAGAATTGAACACTGAGGAACACCACTGCTGACCAGTTGCCACGCAGAGGTAGCCCCATTCTCTACAACCCTTTGAGCTCTGCTCTTCACCCAGTGCATCGTGAACCCACTCATCCCACAGCTGGACAACTTGTCCAGAAATGTGTAAAGGATAATATCAAAAGCCTTAATAAAATCCATAAAAGTTACATACACCAGCTCTTCTTCAGCCACTAGGATGATAGCGTGACCCTATCATAGGACATCAAATTACTTAAACAACTTTCACTCTGTGAGCCCATGTTGACTGTGCCTGATAACTGTGTCAATTCTTTAAATGCCTTTCAATAGTACCCAGTATAACCTTCTCCATAATTTTTCCAGGAACTTAGGTTAGACTAACAGGTCTGTAGTTTTTGGGGTTTTCCCTCAAACCCTTTTTGTAGATTTGAATAACACTGGCTCGCTTCCAGTCAGCAGAGACCTCCCCAGACTCCCAAGATCTTTGGCAGATGATCAAGCGGTGTCCTGCCATAACATCCCCTAGCTCCTTTAATACTCCAGGATGAATCCCATCAGGCTCCATCGACTTGTGAACATTCAGCTGGTCCCTTACAATTTTCAGTATCCACAAACGGAAAGTCCCTGTTCCCACACTGGTGGTCCTCTCACTCAGGGGACCAGGCAGCGAAGGTCTATCAGTATTATTAAAGACTGACACAAAAAATACATTGAATGTCTCATTGCTATTAGTCAGATGACCATCTTCCACAAGTATCATCTTATTCTTCAACACCTTAATATTTACCTTAATATATATCTTGTGCTATAGGTATTTAGAAGACAATAGATAGTGAAACTTTAAATTTTAGATGAGCAAAACATTTAAACTTTGAAGGTAGATTCCTAGAAAAACAGAGCACAAAGATAAATCTAAAAAAGCACAAAGTAGGTGAAAGTTGATGGCCATGTGCTCATCTGGAAGTGGGGAAACAACATAAAAAACTTTTTAAAACTAAACCGTAGCATATTTGACAAGGTAAGATAGTTATTGACTCGCAGGAGAAGCAGGCCTGCTTGGAACATAAAGGCACTGAGACTCAAAAAAGTATTTCTACTGAACACAGCTCAGGAAGTCAAAAGCATACATGATGGCCAAATGCAGAGGACACAACAAAGAGCAGACTATGATAGATTGGAAGAGCAGTCTTTTAGTCTCACACAATCCCAAGCAAGATGGAAAAGGACTTATCTGTTGTGCAAACATCTCTCTCTTACCTAAAAGCTTCTAAGAATAAATGGTTTTGAGTACAGTGTCTTGTAATGAAAATACTGACATCGTAGTTAATGATGATGATGCTTAACTAAAAGTGTTTTACACAAAACATGACTCTTCCAGGTTTTTACATCCAAAAGTTTTTAATAGTTCTCCAACTAATTTAAATGTCAAATTGGCTTCCAATTAGTTTATGACAATATAACACAAAAACCCTTTTCTGCAAACATGTCCACAGCATTGGAGACAATGTCAGCTGGTGCAAAAACTTACCGTGTGCAGTAGCTGAATTTCACATCCTACCTGCCAAAGTACAGTAAGTGCTTGGTAAGCCCTTGCATCCCCAGGCATTGCTGTTAATACCTAATAAAATGGCAAAGAAATAACTTTTTTATTGCAAAAACTAAGATTGTTCTTTATCTAAGCAAAATTCATATATATATATATATATATATATATATAAAACAAGTGGTTAGAAATTCATAGTTAAGTCTAAAATTCCAAGATAAAGTTAAATACACACATTGTGCTATTTCAGTACATCTCGTCAGAACACACAATTAGAAGATATTATGGTAGTCTAAGTATTTCATCACAGCAGTTATTTGGATAACAGAACTGTGTAGGAATTTCCAGCTAATACTTTCTTACCCCTTTTAAGGCAGAGAAGTTTCATACAGAAAAGAAACAGGGATCATATTTTGTATAAAAAGCATAACATGGGCAGAGTAATCAGCTCACAGTGATAAGATAATAGTCCCAATAAGACACAGAAGCAGAGGAAGCCAAACATCAGGTGACCTCACTGAACATTAAGCAGCATGCACAGTCATCGTCCTGATCAACATTACAGCTCTTAGGGCAAGAAAAAGAGAGAAACTTGTGGATATTCTCAAACAGGACAAAGAAAGACATAAATTGTAGCAGGGAGATTTAACTTCTTATAATAGATTTAGAAAGCCTCGTCATATGATTGACCAAAAAAAAAAGAAAGAGGAAGTTCCAATTGCTTTTACTTAGGTACACAACTCTCACTTAACAGGTTTCACAATAAAGCCAGAAAACTTAATAAAAAACACAGTGACTGCATTAATAGGCTGCCCCCTATTTGCTCAAAAATTTGGCAATTACAACCATACCATTTAAGTGGATATTTCAGTGGTGACCAACCTGTCATTTTGCAAAAGAATATACTTAAGACTTCTAAGGCTTCTAATTTTTTTCAGTAAGGTGTTAGACACAACACAGGTTGTGTAAGCACAGCTGGAAGTCTTTGCTTACTTCAGGTAATTAAAGGTTTGTGGTTCTGTAAGAACCTTATAGTTTCACAGAAAGAAAAGGTACCCTTGAACTATAAGTACAGTTCTAGAGGTTTGGGACAGCATAAATTAGGAACACAAACTCAGAAAGCTGCTCTGCACCTTAGTGTACAGAACTTTAATAAAAAGGTGTGCAAATCATTCATATTTCACCTCAGTTTTTTTCAGTACTGCATACAAAAAGGCTCAAGAGGACAAGGACGTCCCACTGAGCAGTCCTGAATTCAGACTTCATTGACTATTACCTACAACTAGTAAAGAACTTTGTTGCAAAAGCATGTTAAAGAATTTAAGCACCTCACAAGTTACAATGGAAAGAAAACAGCCGCCGCTGCTGCTGCTGCGTATCCTTCTCAAGGACCAGCCTTCACATTTGTAAGATTTGTGGTTATGTGACTATAGAATGTTTCTTGACAGTGCTATTCACTGTCAATGGCAGTTTCTTGACTGCACAGAGAACAAGTAGGAAACAGACAAGGCTTAAGATTTCTGGCAGATAAAGAAATTTACTAACAAAAACATTAACTATACAATATAAACGCTTTGTATTCTGTGACACAGTACTTACTCTTTACTACCTGTAAAATCTCTGACACATACCTTGTACTCTTTTTCACTTATAAAGATGTTGAGTTCTATTCTTCCGTATCTGTATATGGAACTGCATTCATACAGGGCAAAAAGAAGCCTCCAAAGTGTGTTTCTTTCCTTTTTTTGTGGTAAGATTCCAAAAATTTTCACAGGTACATCTGTTTCAATAGTGTGTAAAAGTATCTTTAAAATTTTGCAATATGTACATTAATGCTCATGTCTAAACTACAAACAATTAAGAAAGTCTGTCAGCTCACATTGTTCAAAATGAACACAATACAAGCTTTAGTCAAAGCTAAGCCTAGTTTGCACTGGACTCAACCTTTAATACAGACAAACAAATAGCTGAGACTGCATATTGCCACAAGGGTTTTTTGAAACTATCAAGAACCTAAATAAAGCCAAAATGTAGGAAATAATATCCATTATATTTTATATATATATAAATATTATATATTAAATAGAACATACACCTCAAGCAAAGAATTTGCCAAACTGCCTATGCACCCTTCAAACTTATCTGCAGCATGTGTGATCATATACATATACCTGCTCTCCAAGGAACTGCTGCTACACCCATGGTTTCAAAAAGTTTGTCAGAACACATAGCAGGTGGTTTCACCGTTCCAGTCACCAAAGGATCCAGTCGGAAGAAGTCACCGTAAATTACCTTTAATTGTCCATCCAGGCTATTCTCTAGGGACTGAATAAAATTAGTTTCAGTTGAAGAAATCTGGATGCAATAACCTGTCTTGCAAAACACCCAACCCAAACAAACAAAATGTTCAAGCGCTACCTAAAATTGTTACCCAGTCAACAGAAGTCAAATCTCAGAGCTGCCTCTTAGAGCTGACAAAAATAATTTTTTCCTTGATTATGCATTTTGACATTTCTCTGCTGCTCAACTGGAGCTTTAAAACACGTTCTTAAATTAGCAAGAGGTTCTGCAAAGTTTTGCAAAAAAGGCTACACTCAACTAAACAAACCACTGCATTTAATGATTTACAAGTGGAATTCTTCATATATGCAGAGAGAATGCCATTTATACACATTTTAAGTCAGGTGAGAATCTTTGGTTCCAAACCTCTACAGTATTGTAACACAATCCTTCTAGTGCAACTTCTGAAGCTGTATTGGACCACCTTTGAATCCATGCAAAGCCAAGGTGAACAGGAGAGGACAACACATTCGTCTTAATATTACCGGTCAATTGCAGGAAAATAGATGAAATAATACCAGGAGATAATCAGAAAAACCACGACTATTTTTACAGATTTCTGGAAGCTACATACAGACATCTTGCTAAAATATACACAACTACAATGACGCTGATTAGCATTAGCTTCAAATTTATGCCTGAAAATATTCATAGGAAGACTATGAACTCAAATTCCTGCATACATAAAATGCCAAATCAATTGATTACGAAATAGCTTGTTGCTGAATGTGCAATGTAAAATCAAACAACACTTACTATCATTAAGCATTATTTCAGATGTTACAAGTTACAATCACTGGCTAATTCCTTTTTGATCCAACAGTTACTACACAATTATAAGCTGATTTCTTATTTTCTCTTTAATTAAGTTTTAGAAATGTGCTACCAAATCAAAAGTGTACCTGTAAGTTTGGAAGAAAAGCTGAGTTACTTTCTAGGGCCACCACTCTAACACCTGCATTGAGCAGAGTTCGGGTCAAGATTCCAGGACCTGAAGGGGAAAAATAAATTAAAAAAAAATTTTTTTAAGTTCTGTTTTTTTCTAACTGATTTCCTTTAGTGATTTTCCTAACACAACACTTGGGACATACCACCTTCAACAGGAGATAACTTGTGCTTGTTTAAACACACTTAAAACAAGAGTTAGAAAAATTATTTACATGCAGCCTGCCTGAGATTGCTCAGTGAATTACACTAAGCACAACATTAAGATTAGATACCCAGGAACAATAGATAAAATGTTTCAAATATTTCTACTACTTTTTCTTCTGCCAACTGAAATAAACTTTGAAACCTTACCCCTATTATTTCTACAGGTAAGATACGCTCTGCAGAAATGTAAAAAAAACAAACCAGCATTAAGTAACTGCAGAGTAATGGCCCTCAGTGTTAGGCATGCTTTTACTAACAGAGGTACAGCCTACAAAACCAAAAATATCATCTGGGCAGGAAGGTGCGTCTCTTCTTACTTTACAGCACGGTTTTAACACCAGAGATGACACAAGCCGCCAGACTTGAGCCCTCACTCCTTCCTCCCAGAGCTCGGTATAAAAGCTGCGGCCCCGCCGCCCCGCACACCCAGCCAGCCCTGCCCCTCGCCAACGCGCGCCCCGGGAGAAGCCCCTAGTACGGAGCCCTCTCGGCGGGCCCAGGCAGCGCCGCCACCCAGCGCGGCCTCCAGTCCTGCCTGAAACCCCGGGAGAGACAGGGGCCCGTCCCCTCCCCTCGGCACCACCCACCTCCCCGCCGTCCCGGGAGAGCAGGGCCTGCGGCCCGTTACCGCCGGTGGCGAGGGCGGCAGCTGACGCTGACCCGGCAAGGTCACCGGGGCACGCCGAGCGGCGCCGCGTCCCAGCAGGCCCGGGAACGGCGAAGTCCCAGAGGGGCCCGGGGCGGGCAGAAGCCCCGGGGCGGCTTACCGGGCGCGCACTCGAGCAGGACGGGCTGGGGGCCGGGGCGGGCTCCGTCCTGCAGGCAGCGCTGCACGGTGCGGGCCAGCTGCGGGCAGGTGATGAAGCGACGGAGCGGCACGCCGTTCCGCTGCACCTGCTGCACCAGCCGTTCCGCCCCCGCCGCCTCTGGCACCCGCAGGCCCGGGCTCGGCCACTGTCCCACCGCCCGCCTCGCCGTCGCCCAGCAGGGCGGCAGCCCGCATAGCAGCGGCCGCAGCCCCGCCGCCAGAGCCGCCGCCAGGAAGCGGCGGCAGCAATCCGCAGCGCCCGGCGGGGCCCGGCCCGCAAGCATCGCCGCGCCGGCCCCACGCGAGCGAGCACCGAGTGCGCGATCGCCGCGGCAACGGGAAGCGTCACTTCCGGCTCTCCCCGGCCTCTCTAGCGCTCTTCCGCTCTATCGTCGGAGGTCTCTCGTCCCGCCGCCCTCTCTATGGTGCCAGCCCTCCGCGGCTGGGAGCCTGCGGCAGCGCGGCGGGACCCTTCCCCTCACCTCCGCGCCATGCCCGCCGGCGGGGCCCGGCCGCCTGAGCCGCAACGGAGCTGAGCTGAGCTGAGGTGAGCTGAGCTGGCAGGGGCTGATTCGCAGGAGGAAGGCGAGGGGAAGGGGAGATGTTTCCCCCGGTGCCGCGCGCCGCCGCCGCCTTCCGCTCGCACCGGCCGCCGCCGGGGGACTGCAGGGGGGAGTGAGGCCGCCGGGCGGGCGGCGGGAAGGTGCCTTAAGGCGAGACGGCGGGGACGGCACCTTCCCGCCGGCGAAGCTCCGCCGTGAGGCAGGCGGGCGGGCGAGTGAGCGCGGGCGGCGGCGGAACGGCTGCGGCGGCGGGGAGGCCGGTAGCGGCCGGGCTGAGCTCGCTGCCCGCCTCAGCCGGGCGGCAGGTGCCGGGGCTGCAGCTCCTTCAGCCGGAGCGGTGCCCCTGAAGCAAACCGGGGGACGGGGGAGGGGAGACCGTACGGCGGCGATGTGCCGTTCTGGAGGGAGCCGGGGTGGGGGGGGGGACGGCGGCGAGGAAGGCGCTGGCGGGCGCCGGTGGAGCGATGTCTGCTGGGTTTCGTTGGTGGAAGTCCCAGGAGCTACATATTTAGTTTGAGGTTTGCCTGGGTGTTTGACGGGAGGCTTTGATCTCCGCGTCCGTGGCTGACTCGTCACTCCGGGACCGGGTTCTCCGTACGGCCCCGCCGCCCTCGGCAGGTGCGGAATCCTGCCCCGGCAGATCTGCGACATCGCTCCCTGTGTCGCCTTCCCTCTGCCCGACACCGGCTCGCAGTTACCTTTTAGGTAAAACCGGTAATTCAGTAGTAGCGACTTTGAACCATTTCCCTAACGCCGTAGCGAGAAATGACTTTAGGACCGTCTTGAAGCCGTATTGGGGTTCTGCGAGATGAGTTGGTCCTGCAGGGAAACTGTGCCGAGACCTGCCGGGGGCGGGTGAGTGGCCGCGGTGCGATGGAGCCCTGGGGAAGGGGAGAGGAGCTTCCCAAATGTGCTTCCCTGCCCGGTTTGTGCAGGAGTGCTCTGGTCATCACAGAGTGGACCGGTCTGCAAATTAACAGCTCCAAAGTAGGCTACGTGGTTTTGTGCAAATTGCTTGATTTCTTGTATATTGCTTTGCTGTTTGTAAAGGGAGAAATTGACATGTGCCTACTTACTAAACAAAGTCATTTTGTTTGACTTACCTGTATTAAACAGAACTTGGGACAGAAAATTGTGGGTTTGCTATTCTGTCTTTGGAGGGTCTGCATGTGGCATGAAGAGGGGCTGCGCTGAATTTCGGAAAGATTGCCGATGCCTTGTCGAATGCAGCAGTTCTACATATCTGCAATTTATTTTTAAATACTCTTCTCTTTTACACTGAGTGCTGTAATAGTCTTCCCTGTGCCTTAAGGGAAACGGACAGACTGTTCAGCTGAATGATGGGATAGACCTCAATCCATTTTTAAACTGGACACTTTACATTTTTAATAGCTTTTTTCTTCTATTACTAATTAGTCTGATAATTCAGTAATTCATAGGACTTTTAGAACATTGAGCAGAACTTGGTTTTTTTAGAGCAAGTGTTTAGTACTGGCCTAATCCTGCGGTCCTTTTAAAAGTTTATTGATGGCTACAGCCACAGAAAGGTTAGGTATAGTTACTATATTAATTACCATGTTGTATTCCATACATTTTAAGGTTAATTAAAGAATTTTGGAATTTTTTGTTGCCAGTCAGAGCACTCGGGAGTGCTGGGGTCTTTGAGTGGGTTGTTCAGAGTAATTGAGATTATTCAGAGGAGTGTTTGCTAAGTAAAGCCAAAATACCTTGACGTGCTTCATACTCTAGAAATGCTACACTTTTTCTCCATATTTTTATTTACTTTAGCTTACAATGCTACAAGCTTTAGCTTGTAGGCAAGCTCCACTTCCCTACATTGAACCACAGATCTCTGCAGGATCAATTTATGATTTTTCTTTCCCTCCCCCCGTCAGATATGTACTGAATCTTGCATGCATAAACGACTACCTCTTTCTGACCTGGTCATATCCTTGAGGAACTGTTGAAGCCTTAGGAAAATGGTAAGTTTTGTACATTTTTTGTTAAGGATTTACAATGCAGAAAGTTGTTTAATACATTAAAGTGTATCCCGAGGACATTTGAACAGTATTTTTAAGTTAATGGCTAATTGTGACATATATTTTTCTAGTTTTATTTGGCTATTGCCACATGCAAACATTTGAATTTACAGGCTTACCTCATAGTCTTATATCTTCATAATTTAAGTACATTGTTGGGTGCTCTGAAATTATTGTTTCCTCCTAATGATTATTTCTGGAAATAAATCGGAGGAGAAATCAAAAGGGTTACATGTTTGATTGGATTCCAGCCTATGCTTGAAATAAGAGTTCATTAGTTGTATGGGGCAAAAAGATATGTAAATAGATATTTTTCTTCTTAATGGCTCTAAATGTCTTTTGCATTTACTTTTATTTAGTTTCATTTAAAGTTTATTTTTAAGTCAATATTAAAGCATTAGTCTTTTAGTATTATTTTGTGTTGTTTATATTTCATTATTTATTTATTATTTTAGTATTTTTTGTTTTAACTACTTAGCCTCAGTAAATATTGACAAGCATTTCGAAGTAAGGGAGGAAAAATTGCAGTAGTACATACATTTTTTCCTTTTCCTTTTTCAAACTCTTATGCTCATAGTTCATTTTAAGTACAAATTCAGTAGAATTCTCATGTTGCACAAAAAAAAACCCAAGAGGTATGTGAACGAAAACTTGCAGGTTCATAATTTTTCTTGCCCTGGTAGTGATACTTATCAATAGTCTCATATTTCGCTCAGAATACAGATTAAGGTCGTTGGTATTTAATTATTTCAGAAACTTTATCTATTTTATTTACCATATCCTATTTTATCATTGTAAAATTTAATCTTAAGTTTTACTCTTAATATTGATTATTCTGTTGGGGTTTTTTAATTATGCATAGATGGAAAGGCTTACCTGTTATGCAATTATTGTTTTCACTTATTTTATTTGGCATATGTCAATAATCTTGTTGTAATACTTCGGAAAGTAACCAAGGAAAATAGTAGGAGTGGTAAGAGATTTCTTCAGAACTGCTGTAAACACTGTGCACTGAGGAAAATAGTCTCTAGCAAGAATTATTTTTTTAAAAATCAAACGGAGCAGTAACCTCATTCTTTCGTGCTACTCCCTTGGCATCACTGTCCCCTACTCCAAGTCCTTGCATGCACAAAGGAAACATCCCAAGGACTGAAGCAGCATGTAATCCTATGCCAAAATCTGGTTTGAGGTCCAGTAAGTTTGCAGCCTGTGGGTTGTATTGGACATCTCCCTTCTAAGTGAAAATCGGTCTTTATAACGAGGTCAGCAATTTTGTATTTAGAGTCACTATGCTCTGTAAACCTTTACTTACCGCTTTTCTATGTGAAATGCGTTGACAATGAAAAGTGGCTTTACACTTGCATTTGAGGGTTGGGGTGGAGTTATCTTGCTGTTTGGCCAAGCTATTAGTAGTAAGGGAAATAAGAATCCAAGGTTCCTTGTAAGCCTGCCTTCTCCATGTGACAGTGTAGCTTCTAGTCTAGCGCTGAAAACCTGATTAATAGGGAATTACTGTCCGTTAAAAGTGGGCTTGATCAATTGTGCAGAACACGGGAGAGTGAGTGCTCAAGTAGCAATTTAATGAAACTGTCAAGTTAGTTGTCCTTTGAGATCATTTCTGAGTGCTAAATGTATGGTCATGTCTGTTAATATATCCTTATTTGAAGTTACGTTAAAGCACTCTTCCTCCCCTGTTTTCATGTTGTAATAACATGCTGTTTAATAGGAAAGCATTTTCACACCAGGTGCAGATTGACTTTGAAGCCTTATAAACACTGCAGCGAAGTACACAGCTGACAAAAGAGCCATTCAGCAAAAAAATAAACATTTTTAAATGAGCTGATGCCTCAAATTCCATCCCTACTAACAGTGTCCGTAGCTAATAAGTGTCCATGTCTTATTTTCCCTTATTAACACTAAGCAGCAATATTTTGACATTTTCAGTGGAGAGGCAAAGGGTTCTGTAGCGGGAAGACTGTTGCATAAGCTGAGTATTGTAAGGCATTTTGGCAGGGGTACAAACTTTCTCACTCTGTGCTATATCTGTTCTGTGTATACAAAGAAACTCAGTCCCTAGGGCTATCAATCTGGCATCTTTCATCAGCACTAAAATTACTGCAAATATTTTTTGGTGTGCATACAAAAAAGTGCTATTAAACCTTTGTGGACAGGAATAAAAACATTCAAGTGGGTGCATCTTCTGTTTACTTCTCTCAGAATTCCTTCTCATTGAATTCTGATGAGCATGTTCTGCTGACTCTCAAATTTACTCAGCCTGTGGTTTTGTATATGTCTTGTCATAGGTATTTTGAACATTTAGGCAATGTTCTCTTGCTTAAGAGCTTGTCACGCTAAAGATTTTTTTACTGTTTTTTTCAGTTATTTATCTACTTACTGTTTAACTGGGATGTCTTTGAAAATGTGTTGCTAACTTGTAAGGAAAATGTAGAGGAGAAATTATATTCTATAATTTTTTTCTATATTCTATATATTTCTATAGAAATACATTCTATATTTCTCTAATATTTGTATAGAGAAGTTTTGGTGTGCTACATGCTTGCTTTTTAGGAACAGAGTTCCTTAGGAGTGTGAAGTGTTTTCTGCTGTTGTTCCAATACACTGCTCCATCTGTTCAAGTTGAATTACTAACATGTGGCCTTATAACATGAGCTTTAACCCTGCTTTTCCCCATCCATGGAATTAATTTAACTTTCGTATTTTATTTT